AGCAAAGGTGAAAGGTTCTGTTCCATTAATGATCCCCTGAGCATTCCAGTTCCCAGCTATTACTATCTCCCAGTTTTGCCTGAGTGACAACTGTAGAGTTTGGCCCTAGAACATTATGTTACAGATATGCCCAGTTGTATTTGTGGCTAGCTAGAGGAAGAAAATATGCCAACACTCTGTATTAGAAGGGTTTAAAACAAAATGTACAAGTCTTTTTAAATAAACTATACAATGGTTAGACTTTATATACAACATTTTAGAATCAAAGACTCCATATGGAAAATCTGTCAGCAGGATTTTCAGTCCAAACAAAAAGTCTTCTGTTGTTAAATAAATGGGGACAAATAAACCAACAAGTACAATTAAAAAAATAAAGATGATGGACACGATCCCAGCTTCTCCATTTCAGGCTCATTCCAGTACTTTTTGACCAAACAGTCTATGGTAACAAGAGTTCTGTTGCAGTTTGGTGCAGAAAGGAAATTTAGCTGCACTTTTCAGTTTTGAAGGTATCATCCATGGAAAGGGGGAAAAAAAAGCAGGTCAGATTGAGAGTATAAGTGGCTCATCAGAAACACCAGCATTATGGTTCTCAGAGGCCATCTCACCTTCCATTTTCTGAGCTGGTATACCTCTGTGTAAGGAAAGAAGTGATGTGGCCAAAAGGCAATTGGAAGTACTTAAAAGATCTTGCACTCATTAATAGAAAAGAGCTTCCTCCTATTCTGTTTCTTGGCTTGATTCACTGCAGTCCGGACTGCGTGCTCAAATACCTGCTGCACTCCTCTGTTGCTGAGGGCAGAGCATTCCAGGTAGCCTTTGGCTTTGACCTCCCGGGCCAGCCGCTTCCCATCTAGTGGGCTGATGCAGGACGAACGATATGGTCCTGTTTCTCGCTGGTCAGTCTGAGTTGCCACCACTAAAACAGGGATTCGGGGCAAATGGTTCCTGATCTCGGACATCCACTTACTCCTCAGGTTTAAAAAGGAATTGTGGTTCGCCACTGAATAACACATTAGTACTACATCAGCCTGTTGATAGGAGAGGGGACGGATACCTTTGAAGGCTTCACTGCCTGATGTATCCCAAAGGCCAAGACTAATTTGCACGCCATCCATGAAGACATCCACCCCTGTGTTTTCATACACCGTGGGCCTGTAAGCATCTGGAAAAGTCTCAGAGGTGAAACGTACCAGGAGTGATGTTTTCCCCACTGCAGAGTCTCCAACCAGGACACACTTGATTGAATCCAACATTTTCTCAGAGTCCGCCTCAAACTGTCCTGTTTCAGCGTACCAAGATGCTTTAGAAATAATTTCTATTCAGCAAGAAGTCATCCAGATTTCTTAGCATTTCAAAATGTGGGTATTTCATTGGAGTATAAAATCCCCTTCTCTCCCACACAAGTGTATGATCCTGCCAACTCTTCAGTGAGTCAAATGACCTTCCTGAAAGAGGAAAATTTAAAATTTAACATTTATAACTCAATGAAAACAAACCCGTCATTCATCATCAAAATAAGCTTCTCAGGACATCTTTTTGGCGGTTGCAAGTCATGTTCTTGAAGCAGGGATTAAAGGCCCCATTATTCCACCTAGTAGCATAAAAAAAATCACTCTAGGGTAAAAATTCAATAATGTTGTTTCTTTATTATAAGCATTTATATTATGCACAGGTCAGATCTCTCTAAGCAAATGGGGTAAGTTTTCAAAAGCATGTAAGTCATTAGGAGGTCAAGTCCCTCCAGGTTTCACTGAGTATGAGGCTCCAAATCCCATAGTTCACTAGTGAAAATATAATCTAGGCTCCTCAAGCACTTCTGAAAATGTATCCAAGCTTCTAGGTGTAACACATAAAAACACTGCACACTAACTAATTTGATTATTTAAACAGTTCTATAATTCAAGATAACAGAACTTCTGTGATGACAACAAAGAAAAAACTGACTTTAGATATAGATCTCATGTGACAGGAATCTTCTTTGGTCTTAGAAGTGATGCGGTATCTACTGCAATAAAAATATGCTTAACATGCCTTTGTTACATGTCTTTCAACAAAAAACTAAGAACATAAGTCAAGGGAATAGACCCTCCACCCCAACTGTTATACTGATGAGGATACAATGATTTTGAAACTTAGTTTCAACAAGTTAATTAAAAGTAACTTCATAGTGCTCCTCTGGACCCGACAAAGACTTAATCACATTTTCCAATCTTTAGAAATATTTTTCTCTTCTCCAGTAGCTATGTGCAATATTCATATAAGCATGAGAGAGACTTGATGATTGATTGTGCAAGAGAAATGAAGACTAAAAAAATCCCACAACTGAATTTCTAAATTGAATGTCCCTCTAATGAGCATTAAATCATTACTATGTTTCCTTCATGTATTAAGAGTGGAGACAATTCTGGAGTTTGTACAAAAGGAATGATCACCTTACAGTGACATGTAGACAAATGCACTGCAGTAACCTACTTCAGTTTACAGCCCTAATATTTGGCTTTTCTAGCTATATATTTATAGTACATTACATGATTAAGCTGATTTCCCAGAGGATAAAAAACAAAACATCAGGTAGACTTGCATTGTTTTCAATTGGCATCCATGGTACAATTTATTCTGCTTCTATTTTATAATCAAGCATTGTCCTACCTCCTCTGGTATTGCCAACTGCCTGGACAACCAAAGCAGAGAATCTCACAAGCAACTGCCTTGTAGTCAAGTGAAGGTTTATTTTATAAACTGCTTCAAGTCCTGCCTGGCAGTTCTCATGCTAACTTCTCGTTACGGGTATTTAAAACAGTCATTGCAACAGAGGGTATTTCCTTGTTTGCAAGCTCAATGCGTGTCTCTTCACTGTTTAATTTGATTCTGAGAATACTGATAAGGTCCAATCACATCTATGTACCAGGAAATGAACAGTCCCATGAAGGGACACTTGATGCTGGAAAGGGTTTAGTGTATAATTTATTTTAAAACTGCCAATTTAAAATCTATAACCATTTTTTCTCCTGAGAATCAAGCATGTTCTGCAACACGTATCACTTAAAAATAAGTTTACAATAAATCAAGCAAAATTGTAAATAGAAATATAGAAGACTTGACAAGTATGCAAAGAATACACAGTCCGATTATTTGTACATGATAGTATATTTATTGTATTACTGCTATAGTTTACAAGTGTTATTGTTACTGTTTTAACACTTAATATTCCAGTGGCTTATACCTCAGACATTACCATTCTCTTCCAGATGAAATTTGACATACAAAGTCTCTTCTTCAGAGCACAAATTTCTTTAAATTATTTTCAGTCATTCTGGTTCTTTTGTAACACATTAGAATGAGAATAATAGAAATTACTAATTCAAATTGCTTCTTTCTCATTTTAAAATGTCAAAAATGCAAAGGAAGATAGATGCATAGTTGTAGCAAGCAATGTGCCCATAAAATGATTTTATTGCTTTGGATATTTTAAAATTAAAATGTAAAGGTGATTAAGAGTGAAAAAGATATTAATGGACTGATTTTATTACACATAAGTCTTGACATGTACTGACATGCACTGAAAAGTGAAGACATGTCCCATCACAAGAACATCTGCCTATTTTCAAACTAAAGTATATCAAACTACAGTTCATAGATTTAGGAAATTGAAAAACAGCCAATAGGGGCTGTTCCCTGACCTAGATCTGCTGTAAGTCTGCTATCAGCTGCAGTGCCCAGTTTATCATATATGTTCTGCACAAGCACATATTTGCTTTGAGATTGTATTTACACCAAAGACTGACATTTTAGAAGTAAAACTCCCTTATCAACTTTAACACAACCCTGTGTAATAAGTGAAGTCTTCTCTGACATGATCGTACAGCACGTGCAGTAACATGACAGATGTGCTACCCATGATAATTTATAAAGAAAGACACAATATAAGCAGAAAACAAGTTTTTACAGTCGTATTATAGAAGTAAAATTCAACTTGTACGCATTACAGAAAACACTGCAGAAGCTCATTTAAAGATGAAGAAAAATATTTAGCTAAAACAGAAATGAACAATATGTGCATGATGTTCTATCAAAATCCTGATGGAGGGCAGTAATAAATATGAGCTTTAAAACATAGTAGCAGTACAGCACTTTGTTTTCTAACCCACAGGGCTAGAAAAAAACAAAGTTATAGTTCCTTTCCACTGCAATATGTGGCAGAATTTGACACATTGCATATCACGTTGCCCAATTGTGTGTGATCACCTAAAAAAGACTGCTTAAGAAACTCCTAGTCACGGAGACATGAATATAGGTTGCAATGGGAACCTTAACTAAATTTCTTAATACCTGTACAATCAAATGTAATGATGACTTAAGCGATGTATGCATATAATGTTATAGAAAAAGACAAAAAGCAAGTAAACATTTAAAATATTGTGAGAGATTTTCAAAGACACATAGAGTAGGGAGTTGCCTCATTTGTATTTCAGCCTAAATGAACTTTATGATTTTGAAAGTCTCCCCAAAAAAGGGGGAAAAAAGGGGGAAAAACTCTGAATGAAAGAAATGTTAAAAACAAGAATGCAGAGAATGGATTGCAGCAGGATATAATGGAAATCTGCAGTCAAATCCTGGTCCCATTAAAGTCAGTATAAAATCCCCACTGATTTAAACAGAACTAGTGTTTCAATTCCATCACATCTGTAGTAGTGATTCCACAGCTGAATCATATAATCTACAGAGTGAAGGACCAACTATGTTCAACACCTGCATGTGTGCACCAGGTAAAAAAAGGACACAAGTACCCTCCTCACTCCTTGCATTTCCTGTGCACAGATTAATCACATGAGAATCATGAAGCTCGGGGATTACCAGGATTGTGCAACCAGTACACTTGGCAGTAGTAGCTTCTCCAAAGGAGGGCAGACCACTGCCTCACTCCTTCCCACTGAGCAGTGGTGCTAGCCAGTCCACGAGAGGAGTTGATACCACTTGCTACCTAGAGTAGTGCCCGTCAAGCACCAGAAGGCTGGTTGCTTTAGGCACAATACTTTTCAAGAGCTGTCATCAGACCCCTGTGCTCCCAAAATGCTCAATATGAGACTGAGGCCATTGCCACAGCCCAGTTCTTACCATCTCTGTGCAGCAACGGTACAGAGCCCGACCTGCAAACATGCATTTAAGTACCTTTGCTCACAGCAGCAATCCAATTGTTGGTCCACTCAATGCAATAAAGGCACAATACTTGTTTGTGTGAGCATTTGCAGGACTGGGCTCACTAATTATTCTATCTACTCAACAGTTTTATCTGTTACATTAAAAAGAAGCATAAAGTGTTAGTGACCCACTGACTTCTGGGGAACTATTTTAAAACTGAAAAACCCAACATGGCTTTCCTGTCATACAGAAAAGTAACCAGGGTCCTAGTCCTCAGCAAGAAAACCTGGGAACAACAGCACAGCAACACAAAGCTCATTACCAGGCCTGGATTAATGCATAGGCAAATTAGTTACATGCATAGGCAAATTAGTTACATGCTTAGCTGCGGGG